GAAAGTGAGAAGTATACTTGAAGGCATTCGCACAGGAGACTACTTCCTAAATATAACCCCAGCAGCACAGACACTGAGAGAAACAATTAATAAATGGGACCTCCTGAAACTGTAAAGCAAAGGCCACGGTCAAAAGACAAAACGACAGCCTACAGAATGGGAAAAGATCTTCACTAACCCCACATCAGACAGAGGTCTGATCTCCAAAATATACAAAGAACTCAAGAAATTGGTCATCAAAAGAACAAATAATCCAATAAAAAAAAATGAAGTACAGACCTAAACAGAGAACTCTCAACAGAAGAATCTAAAATGGCTGAAAGACACTTAAGGAAATGTTCAACATCCTTAGTCATCAGAGAAATGCAAATCAAAACAACTCTGAGATTCCATCTTACACCTGTAAGTATAAGTCCTCCATCTTTGGAGGCCCTGCCCCTGTGCTCAACAAACCTTGACCCCTCCCCCGAGGAGGGTCAAGGCAGCCTGCCAAATCTTGACCATTCCCCCAGTTTATTTAAACTGCTCCCCAGAAAGTCCCTTTGTGGTCAGTCTCCCCCATCCTTACTCTCCCACCCCCCTGTCGCTTTGGCAGCTCCACGGTTCCCCTTTGGGGATACCAGAAAGTGCAGGAATTCCATTAAACATGGATATCATTTAATTCGACTTGTGATTTGGCTTGATTGGGATTTTTTCATAGGCGGAGAGCTCGCTTTAGGAAATATTCCTAACAGTAAGAATGGCCAACACTGATGACAACTTATGCTGGAGAGATTGTGGGGAAAAGGGAACATTCCTGCATTGCTGGTGGGAATGCAAGCTGGTATAACCCCTTTGGATGTCAGTGTAGTGATTTCTCAGAAAATTAGGAAGCAACCTTCCTCAAGACCCAGCAATACTACTTTTGGGTATATATCCAAAGGATGCTCAATCATGCCACAAGGACATGTGCTCAACTATGTTCATAGCAGCATTGTTTGTCATAGTCAGAACCTGGAAACAAGTTAATGCACCTCAACCAAAGAATGGATAAGGAAATGTGGTACATTTACACAATGGAGTACTACACAACAGAAAAAAGTAACACCTTGAATTTTGCAGGAAAATGGATGGAGCTAGAAAACATCATATTGAGGGAAGTAACTCAGACCCAGAAATACAATTATCACATGTACTCACTCATAAGTGGTTTTTAAACACAAAGCAAAGAAAACCAGCCTACAAATCACAATCCCAAAGAACATAGACAACAATGAGGACCCTATGAGAGACATACATAATCTACATAGGAAGTAGAAAAAGACAAGATCTCCTGAGTATATTGGGAGCATGGGGACCTTGGGAGAGGGTTGAAGTGGAGGGGAGAGGCAGGGAGGGGAGCAGAGAAAAATGTTGGGCCCAATAAAATGAATAAAATAAAAAAAAATAAAATAGTATAATTTCAGTTACCTTTGTCCAGCTTACTCTACCTAACCAATAAAAACACACATTATGCCATTCTTACCATCCTATTCAAGATGAATGTGTTGCAAACTGGATCTAAGCTGGACCAGACTAATGCTCGGACTACAAGACATTTTAAGTGTAGTTTTTATGTTTTCCTAACTCCACACATTGCTTTCAATACAGTCTTCATTCATTACTGTGCAAAAGGTACGAACTGAGAGAGCTGTATATATTCGTTTGATTCAAGACTTGATTTCTACTATTGACACTGAAATTAAGTTTGTGAAGTTGAGTTTTCCATAGAAGGATCCCCCTAAAATTCATCCTCTATCGTTAGCTATAGCAACTGTTCACACATAACAAACCGAATCATGGTTTTCTTACAATGGAGACACTGTAAATGTGACTTTCGGCAAAGCATACAAACACTCTTGTTTTTCCAACTTGGCTTCTTACCTCTCCTCCCACACCAACTGTCCTGCCCAAGACTCTCTGCTCAAAACTCCATTCTTCAATGGTCCACCATGAATGTGATCCAGCTCACAGATCATTTTCAAATATACTTTTCAAATCTCACTATATTCTATGACTATATCTTACTCATGTTTTCAAAAAACAGGAGGGGGACTTAATCGGGGAAGGGGGAGGGAAATGGGAGGCGGTGGCGGGGAGGAGGCAGAAATCCTTAATAAATAAATAAATTAAAAAAAATAAATAAAACATTTACTAAGAAAATCAAAACACACAAACAAAAAAAAATAAATAAATAAAAGACTATGTGTAGGGTCAATGACATGGTCCAGTGGGTTAAAGGTGAGTTTTATCCCCAAGAACACCAAATTCCATTTCCAGAGCCACCTAATTGTTGAAGGAGAGACCTGATCCTACAAAGTTATCTTAACTCCACAGAAACGCCATGGCATCAGCACTCCTAAACACAACACAATAATAATAAATTCTAGATGCAGCCTATGTGGAGAGGGCAGGGCAGAAGGTAGGTTGAGTCATTTATCTCTACCATTTACTAAAATTTCTGGGGAAACAACTTATTTTTAATAAACTGAAGGGTTATCATGTACTAAATAAGAATGGCCCCATAGGCTCATATATCTGAATGCTTAGTCACCAGGGAGTTGCCTTGGTAACAGTGTCTCTTCACAGCAACAGAACAGTGACTAGGACAAAGGGGTAATTTGAGTTGTGTAGAACTCCAAAAATCAGGAAAAAAATAACAGCAAAGAAAGAAGAAGAATTAAACAGAATACCAGAGTTTGAGGATTAAAGTACCTTTAAGAATCATGGGTCTGCTGGGCGGTAGTGGCAGAGGCACCAAAGCTACACAGAATCCTTGTCTCGGGGAAAAAAAAAAATCATGGGTCTGTGGGGCTATAGAAGTGGTTCTGGTTAGGACCCAAGTTTAAAATCATGAGTCTGTGGGGCTATAGAAGTGGTTCTGGTTAGGACCCAAGTTTAATTCTCAGCACCCACAACAAGCAGCTTAACTTATAACCATGGGCACTTAAATTTGCAAATAAAAACACACAAATGTTTTAAAAACTTAAAAAAAAAAAGATCTGCTTTGGAGAAATGAAGGAGGCCAGGCAAGGTCACAAAGGGAGATTCTAGCTCATATACATAATAATAATGTGTACTAAATAAACAATTATACCAAGGTATAAAGCTGATAAGGGAAAGCAAGCAGAAAAGTCCAACATTTAATAAATACCTAAATTTAAAATAATTTACATGTATAGATGTTTTATCTTCATATATGTCTGTGCACCATAGGTATGCAGTACCCAGAGAGGCTGGAAGAGGCCAACAAATCCACTGGGACAGGGGTGACTGCCACCTAAGGCACCGTGTGGACGTTGGGAATCAGACACCATCCTCTGCAAGAGTAGGCAGTGTACTTAACTACTGAGTCATCTCTCTGGCCCTTGATTACACTTCATCCTGTTAAATACTGACAGAAGAGCATATGAAGCCGGACTGTAAGCATCTAGATCGGGTTTACTTCCCACACTACCCTCAATCTGCAGTTACTACTCAGTGCCCTCATTTTCAAAAACATACTTCTAGTCCTTAACATTTACTGATTGTAGTGCTTACAAAACTATCAGCAGAATGTGCGCACAATTCACTGCCTCTTCCTAAAGTTCTGGCAGAGAAACTTGCTTCTAAAAACAACGAAGTTCCACTGGACCTTGTTCCATTGACCTTTTTGCTCATTAGTGTACAGCTGTCTACTGTTAGGCAAAGAAAGATACCATGTGTCCAGAACTTCTACAGGTGGCAATCTTGAAGTGGGTGCCATCACAAACATCTCACAGAAAAGATATGAAGATGGGCTACAAAGTATGGTAGTTTAAATGATAACAGCCCCACTGGATCATATTTGAATGCTTGGTCCTCAGTTTGTAACCTGTTTGGGAAGGATTAGAAGGTGTGGCCTTGCTGGAGGACACGTATCACTGGAAATGGGTGTTGAGGTTTTAAAAGACCATCACCATTCCCAATTGGCTTTCTCTGTCTTATGCTCCTTTTTAGACTGAAACGGGAGCCGTCAGCTACTACTCCAGTGCCATGTCTGCTTGACTGCTGCCGTACTCCTGCCATGATTGGTCTGGGGCTGTGATCTTCTGGAACCATGAGCCCAAAGTTGAACTCCCTTCATTTTAAGGTGCCTTGTTCATGGTGTCTTATCACAGGTATAAAAAGTAACTGAGATAGGAAGAGAGCCGTGTATCCTAGTTATCACGAACTGTCAGCCTGCCACAGCCTAGAATGACCTGTACTATTCCCTGAGCAGTGGCTACCCCACCCCCAAGACAGGGTTTCTCTGTGTAGCCCTGGCTGTGCTGGAACTCACTCTGTAGAACAGGCTGGCCTCAAACTCAGAGATCTGCCTGCCTCTGCCTCCTGAGTGCTAGGATTAAAGGTGTGTGTCACTACACCTGGCCATCCTGGGCAATTTAAACAAACTAGCTGAATATGAGCCTGAACCACTGAGAGAACAAGTAAGCAAGCAGCATTCCTCCATGGCTTCTGGGTGAACCTCCTGTCTTGACAGCCCTCAGGGATGGATTGTGACCTCAAGTTATAAACCAAATAAATCCCCCTAGTTTCTTTTGGTCTACATTTTATCACAGCATCAGAAATAAACTAAAATATTGTGCAAATCTAAGAACCCAATCCCTGGAGCCCATATAAAAATGCTGAGTATGGTGGCATGGATTTGAAATCCAAGTGCTGGAGAGGGTGGAGCCTTGGGCTGGCCTGCCCTGCCTAATTGACAAACTCCTGGGCAGTAAGATTCTCAAAAATGAAGTGGTCATCAACTAAGGACTAACACCCAAGGCTGCCTGCCCTTGTGCATCCACATCTGCACTCATGCATAAACACACGAATGCATAAGAAAACTGGCAGTATAACCAGTGTTATAAAGTGTTATATAAAAATGTATCAAAAACATGTCTAGCAAAACTAAGAAACTAACGTACACAAATCCTAATGTTTTACATTTTATATATTTTAATGACGGCTTCTGTTACCTCTTCTTTCAATGCATGTTTCTTCTGTTCCAGACAAATCTCTTTAGCTCTCATCATTTGCAAAGTCTCCTTAGAAACTGCATACTGGAGTTTTTCCATGCGTTCTGCAGCTGCTGCCCACGATGCTTTGCCAAATTTCTTCTGATCTGCTCGCATCCGATCATAGACAGCTGGTAATAATAATTTAGCAGAGATAGTAAGGCACAAAACTACTAGACACTAAGGAACTAAGGTGCTAGATTTCACTGATTCCCACAATAAATTATGTTTACTGTCTCTAAATTATAGTCTAATAACGTACATTCTCTGTTAGCTCAAGCAATGCTACAAGCCTTTAATCACAACACTCGGAAGGGAGAGGCAAGTAAACCCCTTAAGTTTGTGTATACACAGTGAATTTCAGACAGACCCACCTTTACTATACCTTCAATTTTCAATGTAATCATATTGTAAAAAAAGCTAAATATATAGCTGGCGTGGGAAGTCCTTCTGTATGTGTTGCTTTTATTGGCTAATGAATAAAGAAGCTGTTTCAGCCAGTGGCTTAGCAGAATAGAGCTAGGCAGGAAGAACTAAACTGAATTTTGGAAGAAGGCAGAATTAGTGAGACAGCCGCAACTGCGAACACACAGACAAGTCAGAACCTTGCCAGTAAGCCACATCCATGTGGCGATATACAGATTAATAGAAATGGGTTAAATTAAGATGTAAGAGTCAGCCAATAAGAAGCCAGAGCTAATGGGTCAAGCAGTGATTTGATTAATACAGTTTGTGTGATTATTAAGGAACTGAGCTGCCGGGCGGTTGGGAAATGAACTAGCAGTCTCTCCCGACATGTAGCTTTGATCTTTTACTATATACACTTCCATGTCCCTGTCCCAAAATAATGTATGTGTGTGTTGTAGTAATCATTTGCTAGAAGCGGCCAACAGGTTGCTCTCAACCTTAAAAGAAAACAAACATCCACTATAAATGTTGGAAGCAACATATAGAGATAAGCTGATAACATGTTTGTAGTTTGAATACTATCTTGGGTCATCTTATATCAGTAAAACATCTCTTGTAAAACTCTAAAATGTTTATAGAAGAAAATTCATTCCTTTCCCAGATCATGTTTTCTGTACTGTCCAATAAATATGGAGAAAAACCCTTTGTTAGGGAAAGTCAACAGACAAACATCGTACACACAACAGACAACAAATTACAGATGTAACAGAAAATATTAGCAATGAAATTCAAGTTTGTGCTTACTCTTAGACTAAACTACTCCAAGACGAAGAACCTTTTTATTATTTAATGCAGCATGAATGGACATACTAACAATAGAGTTGACAGTTTTCAACTCAGCATCTCCTTGAACCTCAATCTTAAGGTCTCAAAGAAAACATCCCTATTGTCTGCTTTGTATCAAATATATTTCTCTTTTTAAAATTTCTGGTCATCTTTTAAAATTACCTCATAAATTACAGCAACTGTAAGATCAATAAAGTAGAGTATACTACAAGGGAGAAAACATTCTGTTTTAAGTATGATAAATTTTACAGTTGTTAAGGTATAGTTTTGTTAAAAACTTCGTGTGTGTGTACATAGAGAGTTAGTTGCTTCAGTTATGTTTATCCATTAACTGGCTCTATCCAAGATGAAATGATCTCACTGTGTCTGTTTCTGTACTTGAAACATGGCCGGCTTAGACCTTAGTAGTCCCCCAGATTTTAGCACAACTCAGTCTATGATAGAGTACCATTTATGCCATAAAACTCAGCATGCAAACAGTACCACCTGCCAAAGTGAAAACAAAGACCCAATCCAAAGTACCTAATATTGAGAATATCTCTAAATGGACTAACCTTTTTGGCTTCTGTGGTTCCACATCTCAAGTATGTCAACCCAGAACACAGATTCTGTGCTTAAAACCTCCCTCTAAAAATGGTTCAGGACTACACTTTGATCCCCAATACCCAGTAAAGTTGACAGCCAGCTAAAAAAAGACTTCAACCCATGTCTGAGAAGTCTTCTCTGGTGGCTCCTCCAACAGCAGTACTCTCTAGCTTTTCTATTGATTTACAGAATGCATATGGGTAGACACGTACCTAAAAGGAACTGAAAGGAGACCTTGCCTTGCTAATAATAGTTATTCTGTGCTGGGGTGCTTACCCAACTCTATATAATTATTCTAAACATAAAAAACTATTGATCATCAAAAAATGCCTAAGGAATCTTACCAAAAACTTACCTTTCTGTGCCTTAGCTGTTATTTCAAAATACTTGACAGTGAGATCCTGGATAGACAACACAGCCATGTGAGCTTTCCGCTGCCAGTCAGCGTCTTCTTTTTGTAGACTCTCAATTCTTCGAGGTCCCAGATAATCATTCTCCATGGAAATCTTCAGAGAGAAAAAGGGAAAAAAAAAAAATCTTTTTACTTATTCTTCAAACATTTAATGAATATTATGTGCCAGGAACTAGTCAGGCTTGGTGCTAAAATAAAAAACACTACTTGTATCCTGCTCTAGAAGAGACACTAGTGATATTTACAGAGTAACTTAATAGTGATGACATGTGGATCTTCCCTCCATCCTTCCCTTTCTACCTTCTTCCACCCTCCCATTCCCTTTTACATATACAGTAACAATACACAAAGAGTTTGGTCATTTCTAAGTGTTGAGATAATGAGCAATTTATTTTCGCACAATAATAATATTTAAGATTAACAATTACTTGTACAGTGATTAATTTTAAAAGCCATTAAATATTAAAAAGAGATTTTATGATTGGTGATATTGTAAAAAATATACCCATGTACATACTGAAAAGACTCTAAATAAATTTTCCTTATTTATTGTTTTCATTTTTCAAGTACTAAGGCCTGGCATAATATCCTAAGCAAGCATCTATCCCGTTAAGATAAAAATAATAAAAAACTAGCTATGTAGTTTGTGACCTGGTCACAAACAACAAATGTGAAACAACAAAATGAACAGAAACAGATCATGTATACACACAATCCTGCTTTATCACATTCAGAAGATTGACTAAAAAAATTAACAAGAAACATTTAAGCAGGGTATGGTGGCCCATGTCTATAACTCTAGCTCTTAGAAGGCTGAAGCATGAGGGAAAGAAAGTTAAAAATGCTGTTATATAATGAAAAACTAGAGTGTTGGCACGCACCTTTAAGCCTAGGTAGAGGCAGCCTATCTCTTGAGTTCAATGCTAGTCTGGTCTACACATGGTTTCATGACAGTCAGGGCAACATAGAAAGCACCTGCCTCAAAAAGTAGTTAAGAGTACTGGCTGCTCTTCTAGAGGAACCAGATTCAATTCCCAACACACATGGGTGATTCACAACTAACTTTAACTCCAGTCCCAGGGGATCTGACACCTTCTTCTGGCTTCTATGAGTACCAGGCACACATGTGATATACAAATGAACATGCAGGCAAAACATTCGTACATATTAAATGAAAAACAGGTAAATCTAACTCACCCATCAGGTATAAAATAAAAAACATCAGGTATCAAATCACTGAAAATCATTAATGAATTTTGAAAGTTAAAATAAAACAAGTCATATTCCCCAGGCAATGCAGGAACCAAATTAACATAATAACCTAAAACTGAAGTAAAATTTAATCACCTGGTATTTAGCACCCTTAATTTGGGGGGGAATGGGACTTCAAAAAGGAAAATATCTAGGATTTACTTTTGTGTGCACTGGAATTAATTTTGCAAAGGTCACGGCCAGAGATATAAATCTGGGAATCAACAACACAAAGAGAGCATTTATAAAACTCTAAAGGTATAAATGAGGTCATCTAAGGTATGTACACACACACACAGAGAGAGAGAGAGAGAGAGAGAGAGAGAGAGAGAGAGAGAATGTTCACTAGACAATGGTGCCCGACATCGAAAGATTATACAACTGCCAGAAAGAGCTGAGATAGACATCCAAGAAGATCTTTGAGAGAATAGAGCTGCTAAACTGAGACTACCTGAAATAAACGGGGAGTTAACACCAGACATGGAATGAGAAAGTTTATAGAATCCAATTGTTTTTAATAATAAATGTTTACAAAGTCTCTCATAACACAAAATTATGCTTTAACTGTAGGTGAATATAGAGCAAATCACGGATAAAATAAATTTCAATTACATAATGAATTTCCAGAGAAAAAAAGGCAAAGCGTGTAAAATGTGCTACTTATGTCATCTTCAGAGAGCAGTTTTCTGGACCAGTCATTTTTCCCTGCACCTCCTCTTCACTAGAGCAATAAGACACCAAAGGGAGATCAAGGGGACACAAATTAGAAAAGAAGAAGTCAAACTCTCACTATTTGCTGATATGATAGTTTACATAAGTGATCCCAAAAATTCTACCAAGGAACTTCGACAACTCAGAAACACTTTCAGCAATATAACAGGATACAAGATTAATTCAAAAAAATCAGTAGCCCTCATGTACACAGATGATAAAATGGCTGGGGAAGAAATCAGAGAATCAACACCCTTCACAATAGCCACAAATAGCATAAAATATCTCAGAGTAACTCTGCCAAACAAGTGGAAGACTTGTATGACAAGAACTTTAAATCTTTGAAGAAAGAAATTGAAAAGACACCAGAAAGTGGAAAGATCTCCCATGCTCCTGGGTAGGCAGAATTAACATAGTAAAAATGGCAATCTTACCAAAAGCAATCTACAGATTCAATGCAATGTCCAGCAAAATTCTTCAAAGACCTTGAAAGAACAGCACTCTTTTTTTTTTTTTTTGAAAAGCAAAAAACCCAAGATAGCCAAAACAATCCTGTGTAATAAAGGAACCTCTGGAGGCATCACAATCCCTGACTTCAAACTCTACTACAGAGCTACAGTACTGAAAACAGCCTGGTATTGGCATAAGAACAGAAAGGAGGACCAATGGAACCAAATAGAAGACCCGGATATCAATCCAAACATTTTCGAACACCTGATCTTTGATAAAGAAACAAAAAATATCAAATGGAAAAAAGAAAGCATATTTAACAAGTGGTGTTGGCAAAACTGGATATCAACATGTAGAAGAATGAAAATAGACCCATATCTATCGCCACGCACAAAACTCAAGTCCAAATGGATCAAAGACCTCAACATAAAGACAGCCACACTGGACCTCCTAGAAGAGAAAGTGGGAAGTACACTTGAACACTCTGGCACAGGGAACTGCTTCCTAAATATAACCCCAGCAGCAGACACTGAGAGAAACAATTAATAAATGGGACCTCCTGAAACTGAAAAGCTTCTGTAAAGCGAAGGACACGGTCAACAAGACAAAACGACAGCCCACAGAATGGGAAAAGATCTTCACTAATCCCACATCAGACAGAGGTCTGATCTCTAAAATATACAAAGAACTCAAGAAATTGGACACCAAAAGATCACATAATCCAATAAAACAAAAATGGAGTACAGACCTAAACAGAGAACTCTCAACAGAAGAATCTAAAATGGCTGAAAGACACTTAAGGAAATGTTCAACATCCTTAGTCATCAGAGAAACACAAATCGAAACAACTCTATAAGAATGACAATTTATAACCGGGCGGTGGGGGCGCACGCCTTTAATCCCAGCACTCGGGAGGCAGAGGCAAGCAGATCTCTGTGAGTTCGAGACCAGCCTGGTCTACAAGAGCTAATTCCAGGACAGTCTCCAAAACCACAGAGAAACCCTGTCTCGAAAAAACAAAAACAAACAAACAAACAAAAAAAGAATGATAACTTATGCTGGAGAGGTTGTGGGGAAAAGGGAACACTTCTGCATTGCTGGTGGGAATGCAAGCTGGTACAACCCCTTTGGATGTCAGTGTGGCGATTTCTCAGAAAATTAGCAAACAACCTTCCTCAAGAGTCAGTAATAACCACTTTTGGGTATATATCTAAAGGATGCTCAACCGTGCCACAAGGACATGTGCTCAACTATGTTCATAGCAGCACTGTTTGTCATAGCCAGAACCTGGAAACAACCTAAATGCCCCCCATCGAAGAATGGATAAGAAAAATGTGGTACATTTACACAATGAAGTACTACACAGCAGAAAAAATAATGACATCTTGAATTTTGCAGGAAAATGGATGGAGCTAGAAAACATCATTTTGAGTGAAGTAAACAAGACACAGAAAGACAATTATCACATTACTCATTCATAGGTGGTTTTTAAACATAAAGCAAAGAAAGCCAGCCTACAAACTACAATCCTAGAGAACTTAGACAACAATGCAGACACTAAGAGAGACATACATAGATCTAATCTACATGGGAAGTAAAAAGTATAAAAAGACAAGATCTCCTAAGTAAATTGGGAGCATGGGGACCTTGGGGGAGGATTGAATGAGGGAGGGAGAAGCAGGGAGGGGAGCAGAGAGAAATGTAGAGCTCAATAAATATAATTAAAAAAATAAAATAATAAAAAAAGAAGAAAATGTTAGGTTTGGAATCTGCAAACCCTTTTCAGTAATGTCAATGGAAAGGCTGCACTGCAGGCCTCATCCCAGACTTGCACTCCAGCACTAACAGTTCCTTCCTCGACAACAAAATCAAGTCTGCAGCTTTGTCAGCCTCATTAACACTTTTTGTTTTGTTTTGTTTTTTTTTTTTTGTTTTTTGAGACAGAGTTTCTCTGTAGCTTTGGTGTCAGTCCTGGAACTAAATCTTGTAGACCAGGCTGGCCTTGAATGCACAGAGATCCACCTGCCTCTGTCTCCTGGAGTGCTGGGATTAAAGGTGTGCACCACCCCCGGCACCTCATTAACACTTTACCTTTTCCACTAAGACAATCAGTACCAGCACACCAAGTGTCCTATCTTTAGACTTCTGGATCAAGGGTTTCTCTGTAGTTTTGGAGCCTGTCCTGGAACTATCTCTTTTAGACCAGGCTGGCCTCAAATTCACATAGATCCAACTGCTTCTGCCTCCTGAGTGGCAACATCCTCTTTATAAGGATATAACTCCAGGTACCCTGCCCTCTGTGTTTAACTCAATAAATCCAGTCCCTTTCCTTAGTTCTTTCATGTCTAAAAGTGGTGACTATTTTTATAACTGCTTCCTTTGAGGTAGCTTACTTTCTTGCCTTCTTAATTACCTGCTTTATTTCATACCAGTTAACAAATCTTAGTGTTACAACACTCACTGTTGAAATTACTATCTTGATTTTCTGATCAAACCCCAATAGATTTAACTACAGAATAAAAACTTAACAAACACAAAGAACATACAAGCCGGGCGGTGGTGGCGCACGCCTTTAATCCCAGCACTCGGGAGGCAGAGGCAGGCGGATCTCTGTGAGTTCAGAGGCCAGCCTGGTCTACAAGAGCTAGTTCCAGGACAGGCACCAAAGCTACAGAGAAACCC